GCAGAGATTAGCCCCTCGTGCCGGCCCTGCCTGAGCACTGGGCATCGTGTCGGGATGGTTTTGGTCCTGCCGGTGGGTGAAGGGGAGGGGGAAGCTGCCGGCTCAGAGGAGAATTCGCGTCCTCGCGCTCCTCTCCGTGCCTCTGCACAGACTCAAACCCACTTACTCGCAGAGGAAGCTCAACAGCTCACCGCGGGCCGTTAGCTCAGTAGCTCCTTTTATTTGAGATACGCAGAGAAAGGACAGGGACGCTGCCCGGGGTAACGGGCGGCTGGAGGGCAAGGTCAGCCGGAGCGCGCAGGGCTGCGGGGCGAGGTGGCCTTGCCCTGAGGATCGACAACGCCGGGAGATTTCTGGGGATGCATCTGCCCTTGCGAGCCGGCTGAACGCCGCTCCGGCACCGAACCCCAGCAAGGCACCTGAGCGCTGTGAAGACGTTTATTTTGGGGTTGGGTTTTTTTTTTTCTTTTTTTTTTTTTTGCATTTAGGATTTGGTGCTTCCCAAACCCAACCTGCCCACCCTACGCTGCGGCAAGGGCACGTGGAGACAAACACCCCCCGAGCGGCTCTGGGGCTGGTGTGGGACTGAGCACCTCTATAAATCCTCCGCAAGGCCCACTGCCAGCTCCCATTTCGACACCGTTTGTGGGCTGCGCGACCTCCTCCTCCTCCTTACCCCGTGCCGGGGCGCGGAGGGACCCTCGCAGCCGAATTCCTTGCATTCCCGCAGCCTCCATCCCTCCGTCCCTCCCAGCCAATGCGTGCTGCCGGCAAACATCCTCCGCTGCTGCAAGCTCTGCCTCTGGCCGTAAAGGAAAAGCCTAAATCCGCTGTTTAGGCGATGTCTACAGGGGACCCGGAGTTTGCGTCGCGGCCGCCGGCCTGGCTTGGAGCAGGGCGAGGGCTCATGCCCGTCCCCACAGTTCAATGGAGGTTATTTTTATAACGAGGATACCTGCACGGTAAGCAAGTTCTGCGAGCTAATATTTTTCCAGGTGCCTCCATTTTACTGACTTCAAGCCAAGGAGGTATTATATATGTTAAAATGGTATATTTATGCAGCCTCTCCTCCATCCAAGTGGATATAAAGGCTTATTCAAAAGAATAATAAGGGCTATATAAAATATAACTCCACTGCCAGGAAATCATCGTGCTGTGCCAATAAAAAGTTATATTTTTCCTGCTTCTCTGACTTGCAGCCTTCTTCTGGGTTTGGAGAAACCGTATCTAGCCACAGCCAGCCTGAAGCACACAGGCTGCGAAGCTCCAGCTGAACGATTGAGTCACCGAAAGGCCACGGAGCAATGCCTTACTTATTTTTGCCACTGTCCTGACATATAATGTCTTTCAGAAAGTCATGCATTGATTTCCAGCGCAGAACAGTTCAGCCCTGTCATGCACGGACCAAATGCAGCGCGGAGTTCAAGCACAAGTCACAGCAACTCAAAATGAAGCAATGTTTCAAGGGCTGGCATTTGGAAGTAGTGGAAAAGCAAAGAGAGAAATCTGCAAACTGCATTACAGCCAAGTCTGGATAAAGCACCACAAGCAACTGCAACTCCACTGATCCTGAGGATTTCTGCAGGGACTCTGTGCAAGGGAAGGGGTTTTAATCCCAGCACCGGGGACTGATTTCGTCTCATCGCTGCTACATCTGCGCGGGGAGAGACGGGGGCGGCTGGCCGATGCTCTGCTGCACCGTCGCTCGGTATCAGCAGGGGCAAGCACCATTCCCAAAAGGCATTTAAAATAAATGCAAATAAATTTAAAATGTATTTAAAATAAATGGTTCCCTGCTGCCGAGGCTGTATACGTGCACCGTCGCATAATAAACGGCACAACTGAGGTGGTGGGTGCCGTCCCCAGGTGCTGGATCGAAACCACACGCTTCAGGTGGCATTTCATTTTAGTAACCGCGTGCATCCGATAAGTGACAACACCCAAACCACGCAGTGTTAAACACCAGCTACCGCCGACACGGGTGCACGGTCAGTCCACACCAACACCGACACCATCCCGGGAGAGCGGGCGAGCACGTACCTGCTTGTTCTTGTACTTTTTCAGGTAGCGAGGAGAAACCAGACACTCGGGGTTAATGTCGGTGTTGATTTGTTCCGGGATCAGCTGTGGGTCTGGATTCAAATGCTGCATTTTCAGGAAGGAGAGGATGTTCTGTACTTCCATGCCGTAGGAGCTGTCGGCCATCGTCTTGCCCTTGGAGGCCAGGCGGCAGGCGGCCATCCAGCTGGCGTACTGCGTCTCCTGCCCCCCAAAGAGAGACCGTCAGAGCGGTGGGGGTGCCCCCTCCCCCAAAAAAATAAAACTCCGGGGAACCTTTATTTTCCTTCCAGCCCCGGGAGACTCAACCACACACAGAGATGGGCAGAAACCCAGCCAAGGCGCAGACTACAACCACGGGACAAGGAGACTCAACCACACACAGAGACGGGCAGAAACCCAGCCAAGGCGCAGACTACAACCACGGGACAAAGCCAAGGAAGAGCACGGGCTGATTTTCTACTCCAAATTCGCGCGCGTGCTCACGTGCAACGCTGAACGTTGAGAACAGATGCACGTGGGTGCGTTTTGTAATTTTTTTTCATTAACACCAGCTACACGGCACATCCGAGCGTGAGCTGATGGTGAAGGACGAAGCAAGGGCCGGTCCAAACTTACGTTATCGCAGCGAAGCCAGATTTCATTCATTCCCTCCGCCACCGGAATCAGAAGTTTGATGTTAAACTTCTGACCAGAGATGTTCACATCAGGGGTAACTTCACATCCTGCGATAAGGGAGTCAATGTTTAACAGGGGTGTGAAGGACAAGCTTTAAAAAGGGGGGAAAAAAAAATCAAAAAAAGGAAAAGAAAAAGCAAAGCACTCCAACTGAAGGGTGTCCAGCAGCATCTCAGTGCTGCAAAGATCTTACACCACATCTCCGATGGGATAAACACTCTACGTAGCAGGGACAAAAACCGCGTCAGATGTCTCTTTTTCCAAGTGACAGGAAAAGAGGAGGAAAAAAGCAAGACCTGATCCGAAAGCAATGCAGCCACAGCTAACACGCGCCCGCAGGATCCATCTCATAGGTCCTGCCTGGCCTCGAGAATGGACCTGGTGGCTGGCAGCTACTCCATGACCCTGAAATTTTCCTGAAAGTGTAGGAAAAGGTGGCTGGATGGGTGCTGCTGCTCACCCTGAAACCCCCAAACATTATTTTGGCTGGGCGCATCGCTGCTGTAGTCAGTGGCAAGGTGTGAGCATCCCGCTTTTGGTGTCTGGAGAGAACTACGAGCGGCTGTATGAACACCGGGGGGGATGAACTGAACCAGGCAAGTTAGCCTGGGCCCCGCTTCAGCGCCGCCTCTGAGATTTTTTAAAAGTGCCGTCACAGCAGATATGTCAAAAGCTCCCAAAAAGGTCCTGCGGGCCGGGCTTTGCTCTGACTGCAGCCTGAGGTCGCTTGGCACCGCATCTGCTCCTGCCTCCGTGGGGGGAAAAAAAAAAAAAAGAGCTTTCTGCAGTTTGGTGGCTGAAGGACAGGAATGTTTAACTTGACATAAGAAACACCAGCAGCCGTAGGAATTTAAAAACTGTGCAAGGCTCGCAGGGAGCGCTTGAGCGAGGCTGCTCGCAACCAGCACCAGGGAGAGGAGGAAAAAAATTTCAAGGCAGCGCAGGAAGAGAACGGTCTGTTCTCTCCAGCGCAGCGTGTGCTCAAACTTATTCTCCGCTGCGGGAGGTCGTTCAATTCTTTTGGATAGCCGTGACAAAAAGGAGAACGCCAAGTTGTCTCCCCATGAGTATTAGGGAGCTGGCGGCGCTTCCCCTTGGGGTCACACGTACCACGTATTCGCTTTCTAGAAGTCTAAGTATATGCCACGCTATCAAACCCGGTCACCCTCAACCCTTTAAACATATTTACTCAACCCTAGGATGGCATGCCAAGAAGATGAATCAGTGGGAAAACAAGATGCAAGGGGAGCAGCCTATAACTGGACTAAAATGCAAATAAAATAATAAAAAAATAAAATGCGCTCACGCTTCTCTTACCTCTCAGGTTCATCTGGTGTGCAGGAGTCCCGTTGGATTCCTCTTTGCTTTTGTAGCAGGAGATAGAGGTATCTTTGAAGGTGCACCAATATGGCTTGTAGCCTTTCAACGTCAGCTTCTTGGGCCTGCCAGACAGGTTGAGGGACATTACGTTTGGTTTAAGCTCCTAAACCAAGCTGCTGCAATGGGAAACTCGGTTTTACCCTTGAAAACCTGGTGTCGGCAGCCTGGGGTATGCCCACCCCCGGGACAGTCCCTGCCCGGGAGCTCAGCCACCACCCACCATCCCTTCACTACAACGCTGGGTCAAGACATTGAGCTGCAATTGCAAATTTGGACTCTTAAACCCCACGGAGGTCCCCCTAATTTGGGGTAAGGTGGGGGGAGCTGTACTATAAAAATGGATGTGTTCATGAACTGCTGCAAAGTATTCCTCTTCACCTGCCACATTAAACTGGAACCCCTTTGCTCGAGCTCTGAAAGGAAGCGGTACTTCTAAAAGACTTGTCAGTCGAGCACATGCACGAGTATGCTCATTTTTTTTCTTTTTAAATACTCCAGAAAACATTTGATTCCTTCCCATGGAAAACACGGATTTTGCCTGACTCTGCAGAAGCAGCGATGGCCCTGCAAGCCCCACCTGGCATGGCGGTACCCTGAGCCTGCTCATCCCACCACGAGCCCAGGACCTTTGTAGAGCTACAAGTTTCTGATTTTCTTCAACCCCCTTAATTTCTAAACCTTTTTCAAAGGTTGTATCTGCAGTTTCTCACTGCAATGCATTTCTCACATCTCCATCCCAGAAATAGCTGCTCAACCCTCATCTGTAGGGATCAAATAGGCTGCCAGAGAGGTGGTGGAGTCCCCATCCCTGGAAGTGTTCAAAAAATGGGCAGACGTAGCACTCTGGGACATGGTTTAGTGGGCATGGGGATGTTGGGTTGATGGTTGGACTGATGATCTTAGAGATCCTTTCCAACCTTAGTGATTCCTAGTTTCATTAAAAATGATCCAGCCACCAAGCCAGGAAACACGAAATTATCCCTCTCCTCTTAACTGGTTTAGTGGTGGACTTGGCAGTGTTAGGTATGGTTGGACTGGATGATCTTAAAGGTCTTTTCCAACCTAAACAATTCTATGATTCTACAATATGCGGTGGCCCCAGTTGCTCGTCCTCAGGGCTCTGCACTTTAATTTCCAAGCAAAAGCGTGCTGGGGGCTTGTCCTGGTTTTGGCTGGGATAGAGTTAATTTGCTTTTGCAAACTGGATTGCTTTTGCTCACGGATCTGGGTGCACTTGGTGGGTGATGCGGAAGGATGGGGAAGTCCAATGTGTACCTCAAGGGAATTTGATTTTGGGTGAAAATAGCTAATGAACCGAATTGTATGATGTTAATTATGTCATCTCTTTTACGGTTGCTGTATGCCACTTCAGTGTGATTACAGTAAGAATCGCCCAGATTAACGAAGTATGAACTTTGACGAAACCGAGCAAAGTGCAGCAGAGTTGGAACCAGAACTGGCTTCAGCATGCAACAAGCCAACACCACACACCATCTCTCCTGCCCTGAAAGGCTGTGATGACAGGTGGAACCCAAAGTCATGGACTAAACGAACTCAACGGACATTTTAGAGGGATGGCCCGTAGGTGAAGGGAATGATATCTGTGTGTATATATCAAGACAGGGAAAATGGTGGTGATTAACTGGAATGCTTAGTTGGTGGTGGTTGTGGTGCTTAGCTGCCAACTGGGGTTAAACCACGACAGGGCTTCTCGGGGAAATTAGGGAGATGGGGGAGAAACACGGCGTCTGCTGGAACCCCGCTGCTCCCACACCTCTGATGGACATCTGAGCTCGGGGCATCTGCTGCCTCCTCCTGCCTTTGCTGGTTTGCCTGCTCCTAAAGCCCTGGCACATACAGCCCTGCCCCGGGCAAACTTTACGGCCGCAATTTCCTTTGAAAGCTGCCTCCCGCTACAGAAGAAGTCACCAAGCTCCAGCCAAGCCATCCTGCACGTGCAGGTTTTTCCATCCTTTGCTTTGCACCCTTCGCTAAAGATGCTTTAATGCATCTTTACGGTCTTGAGCTTTTTGGGGGGCTCCTTTAAATGGCAGGCAGGGCATTTTGGCTGGCACGGGCAGCAACCCAGCTGGCAGGGGAGAAAGAAACATCCCCAGTCTCTGCAGCAACACCAGGCACGTACCGGGACATATATATAGGACTTACAGATAAGGCATACTAGGGACGTACATTGCAGCTCCTCCCCAATGAAGCGTGACAAGAGGCACATCCAAAGCTGGGCCAGCTCCATTTATGTTGGGTTTCTGGCAGTAAAATACCGCCTGGCCCTCATTTTTAGCCGCAAATGGGAATTCTGTGCTTCCCCGCCGTGGCAGGACAGCCTCAAATCCCAACCTCAGGGTTTGGGCTTGCACTGGGCGAGGAACCGGCAGCTTCTTGCTGCTCCATCTCCTGCCCCACCAACTGGCACTCCAATTTGCAAGCAATTAGCTCCCCAAGTCGTGCCTAATTTTATTGGCAAACAAGCACATCAAAGGAAAGAACAAGTTTTTTCTTTGTTCAAGGGGGGGGAAAAACACCCACTCAGATGCAGGGCACAGGCTGCAGCCCTGAAACTTTGTCCCTATTAAGACAGACTGCAAGCTCAGATGGACGTGAAGACCTTATTAATTCACCTTCGGAGAGGGAGAAAAGAGTTTTTCAGAACAGAAGTGGTAGGTTCTGGCTCCAGAACCAATCAATTAATACAATAAAGGCTTGTTCCAGAGTTTTTCAGAACAGAAGTGGTAGGTTCTGGCTCCAGAACCAATCAATTAATAAAATAAAGGCTTGTTCCAGAGCTATTTCGCTGCCTACTGCTTTTCTTCTATATCCTATAGCTATGCTGTGAAATCTCATCGTTACTTCCAGTTTCCAGAACTTTCACCGTAACACTCGCCGCAGCAGGCAGTAAATTGCAAAAAGACGGTCGCGGCTGCCAAAATGTTACTCAAAGTCCAGACGCTGCCGTTCCCGGTTTCCACATACCACCATCCAAGTCAAAACAGAATAAAAAAAAAAAAACCCTAAATCCTGAGTGAGCTGGAAGAGGAGTCAGCTTAACCTGCTCCCTTTGGCAAGCAGAGGGCAGACGGACCGGGATCCCGGCTGTTTGTAATTCATCCAGCCTCTTGCAAACCAGGAGAAGTATCGGAGCAAGTTTTCTAGCTTTCACTCCCAATTTTAGGATGACTTGATTACTTCACGGGCATTAATTGTGTTACAGAAATATCCCGGCACGTGCTGCTGGCTACGGGATGCAGCAAACTATCCCGGAGGGATGCTTGCCCGCCGGGGCAGTGATAGTGGGAAAACACCCCGGGGTTTATATTTAAGAACTGATTAACTTCAGTATCGAATATTTCGCATAGCGTGAAATACTTAGCGACTGCGCTACAGGATAAAGAAGTAAAATGTTTCAACAGCAAGAGCACGCAGATGCTCTGAGCTGCGGTATTGCACAGCGATTGCTCGGTGGCGTTTCACACGAGGTAACGCAGTGGCGCGCAGCGAGATCTTAAGGCCAGGAGATAAAAAAAAAAATGGATAAAATGGATATTAGGCGGTAGGACCATTAATTATTCATAGACATTACCAGTTTCACAAGCACCTCTTCCCATCAGCACTTACTTGAAGACTTTAATGTAGTCGGCGAGCTCCGGGATGGAAGTGATGTCACCCTGAAAATAAAAGATGATCCCGTTCACCCGCCTGCCCGAGCGGAGCCGGGGTGGTGGGTCCGGGAGGGAAGGGATGCTGCACGGGGGAGGACGCCGGTGGCAGCTTCACCGGCCAACATCGGGGCTCGGGGCATGAAAACGCTCCTGAGAAAGCCTCATCCATTTCATGGGAAAAGCAAGCGGAGAAAGAAGTCATCGTACAGAAGCGCCGTTTGGAAACCAGAGGACGAGGTTTTATTTTGTTTTGAGGAATTCCTGCTCAATTCCCACCCGCGAGGTCACCGGCGGTCACACCGGCTCGTGTTTGCGCAGGCATTTTTCTCCTCCCTTAGTTATTTCCTTATGCTCCGAACAAAAGGAAAAAGATGCTGCTCTGCACCTCCACGGAGGACTGGGGAAGGGCTTTCTGGCAGTTTAGAAAGGGTTTTTTTCCCCCCAGCTTTTTTAATATTGAGTTTATCTTCACATTCTGCATGCGCCAAATATACAGGGTGGCACTTGCAATTCCCACAAGCTCAAACTAAAGGGTTTTCGAAGGACAGAAAAAGCAAGGACTGCTCCAACAGCTTCCAGCAGCAAGACAGTTTACTTTCCATCTGCAATGAGCAATGCTGTTTATAGATACCGCGGGGGGGAAAAAAATGCAGAATCTAAACAAACAATCCAGTAATTGCCCATTATCCGTATTCAATTCTCGAACGCATCTGGAAATGGCTACTGCTAGCAACCCCGACGGAAAGGGATGGAGTTTTTTTGATGAATCATTGTCGTCTTCACTCCTATCTGGCAGGGATTGTTCCTTAGTCCCGTGCTTCAAATCTGGTTTTGCGAAGAAATTTTATAGAAAAGATCTCTCGGCAATAAAACCTCGTCATTATTTCTATCGCACCGAAGCAGCGCTGCTCTCCCCGCGGCAACTGGTTAACATTGTAAACCTCTGCCGTTATTAATGCTAGTAAAACAGGCTAAGTATGTATGTTAACTTCAAAAGGACCCTTTGGAAACACTTAAAAAAATTATATGAAGGGTAAGACTGGAAAATTTCAGGGGTTTTAGGGTTTGAAAGAACTTAAAATGAAACTCAGAGATGGTATAAATGTGCAAAGTGCCTGGAAAAGCTGTGCTGTGCCAAGTCTGACCAGACCTACTCCTTTTTCTGCAGTTTAGTTTTTGGGCTTTACGATTTTTAAAGGTGGAAACCCAGTGTTAAAACAGCATATCAGAACAAAAATGAAATCCTCTGAAATACAGTCATAGCACACTCCAGGCTAAAATCCAGTATAATAAAAACAGAAACAGGGTTTCATAAGTGTAAGTTATTTCTGAAAATCACGGCAGCTGTTTTTAGGTACCGTAAAACTTTGCCATGAATTAGAAATGGTGGAGGAGAAACCTCAGCATGAAGAATTCAGTATTTTGGAAAGTCGGTAGCGAGAGCACAGAAACCAAATTAATTTTAATTTAATTTTCCATTATTTCACCAGGCTTGGTGCAGCGGGGAGATTCAGTGAGATCCCAGCTCCTCTGGGACTTCTCCAACACCATTTGGTCTTATGGTCCCAGCAGGAAAAACACAATATTGCACTTGACTTCTGCAGCAATGCAGAGCTGGGCACGCGGGAAGGGCTGAGATCTCCCTGCTAAATTAACTGCAAACACCCCAAAACCAGAAGGCAGTCTTAGAGCTTAAATGAAGCTTTTGGTTCAATACGTGCACGTGCTCAAAGAGGTTTTTACGCCGCGTTGGGCTCAGAGCAGAGCTCGGCACTGGCCCCACGCCGGACACTGCCTGGGGTCCCCCTCCCACCAGAATTACTCCTCAGGATTTAAAAAAATATTATTTTTAAGAAAATATTATTGGGGTCTGTGTTCTGCATTGCTCCACTGGGCTGTGGGCAACTTTCTCATGCTGGAAGAGCAGGAATAGAAAAAAATGTAGAGGAGGGAAATAGAAAATGTTGGATGCCTGGAAAAATTCCCAGCTCAGGATGGTTATTGCTGCCTCGTGCGAGGTGAGGAGGGGATGCGCAAGCCACCCTGCCGCCGCGTTCCTGCAACCCTTACCAGGATCGTCGATGTTTTGCCACCCTCCAAAGTAATTTCCAGATCCGAGAGCGCAGCATCCACCTCATCCACCTCCTTGTCGCTGTTGTTCAGGTGGTTTTCCGAGGACATGATGGACAGCTTATTGATGTGGTACTGAAAGGCAAGGCACAACGTTTCACCAGGACGCTCCTGCGATCTGCTGGATGCCGCCGGCTCGTCACAACGCA